TGTTTACCACAGACCTGAGCCCTTACGAGATCAAGGGTCAGATCGATGGGCACCGGTGTCTCGAGTTTTGTGTTCAGCAGCGCCTGTGTGTGGCCACCGGTATGGTGTACGACACGGTCGACAGCTCCATGTTTTGCTACTTTTTCAAACGGTCGGACCTCATGGACGCCAATCTCACGGAATACGAAAATGTGAACCTATTTGTCAAAGTGATGGACGAGTCCGAGATCCCTGGCCACCAGAGTGTGCCACAGAGTAACAAGTAGGCCTACTACTAACTAGAATTTATTAATTCATACATAATTATTGAATAGAATACAGCATGCTAATATTAATACATGAAGCACATTTAAAGTTAATGTATGAATGTTAAGTTGTTTGTTACAGAATTTGCTGTATTATGACTGTTGCTAAATATTAATATTCAAAACCGAGTCCATAATCATTATTATTAACGATACAAACATTTTGAATAATAAAGAATAATATCCAATGAAAATGAATTTACAAAATAAAAATTAATTGTTTCTCCAATATTAATAGTAGAGACATTTGAAATAATGTGTCAATTATGGTGTTATTGAAAAACTGCAGTTTATTTAAATAGTATAATAAATGTTAGCTATGAAATAATAATTTACTTATTTTTGACAATGTTATTCATTAAATAGGTTATAAACAGTAGTTTAGCCATTTGTACAATTAATCTATTATACATTATATTGCAGTACTACAGCTTACGTGGCTATAATTACTGTTATTCATATGCGATATTGTGTAGCACTCCATGGATTGGTTATGCATTTACAAATTATAATAAAAAGTTTCGAAATGTTAGCAATGAAATAATAATTTACTGTACATATTTATGATAATGTTATGATAGTCATTAAATAGTTTACTGTTAGTAATTGAGCCATGTTTTTGCAATTAATCTATTTCATTTCTAAATTGCATGCGAAAAGCGAAATTTATATTAGCATAAACAAATTACCAATGCTAATTTTGGAATATTTATTGCTAATATAAGTAATTCTTTAATACTAATGTACAGAATATTTTGTTAATTATGGTGTTATTGAAAACTACAGTTTATTTATACAGAATATTTCACTTATTTCTGAAAATGTTATTCAGAAAATAGGTTATAAACATTCAATATGAATTCTATTAATGTGAATAGAATTATCCCTGTTGAATTAATAACAAAATCAGCGAGCAATCAATTGTATAGAATTGGCTTATTGTACACTCGTAGCCAATATGAGCAGGGTGCAACCAGAACACTGATTTATCACCCAAAACTTATCAACTCCATTTTGGTGATTTGTCTGACCCAGATAATAATCGTGACATTCGTACCAAGCAAATATCGCCTTATCAAAATCATGCTTGGTGATTTTGCTTATCTACAGGGAGTCCCTAAACACATAAATATTTTTGCTATAAATTTAATTATGTTGAACATATTATTCCGTGCACTCTATTACTATAACTATAAGCGGGGTATAAAACCCACATTTCTATCGCTGTTTGATATGTTTGCCGGTTATATGACTCCCAAACAGATTGGACTCACGGATAGGCATCAAGTTTGGGATTTATGTCGCAAATCACGGCTTTTGTTCAAAATTGTCCGACAATTGCAAATTTACGGAGTGTTCATTTATATTGCATACATGCTACTAACATACTCTATAAGTTGTTCACTAATGGAAATCATTGTGTACGGTATCCCGCAAACTATCCTGCTCACATTTTGGGACCATTACTGTGCGCCACAGATACTCTATCTATTGCTTTACTTTTATCTCATTTGTCGCTATTTTCGACACAAATTGCGGGCATTCAATGAAACCCTCAAAACACGTGTGGAAACGGATTCCCGATTTGAACCGCTTTTCATTCGGCAAACAATTCAATCGCTTAATGATATCATACGTGAGATCAATGAGTATAACACCACTTATTGGTGTCAATACATTGCGATTCTGTGGACATTGTTCAGCATTACTGGCATTACTATAACCTATGTCTTCTTGTTTCTAAACATGCCATTCATTATACGACTGCTTGTAGTCTATGCGGTTGGCATCATATTATTTCCCCTCATATTTGTGGGCCTAATATCAGCCGCCGTTAACAAGAAGACAGACGTAACGTATAAACTGTTGAATAGATATATCGCAAGACTTATACCGCGAAGTATGGCCTATAGTAGACAAGTCCTAAATCCGTTACTATTGGCTGAGATTATAAAGGATTTATCTGGATGAATAATGTTAAATGGTTGTGGAAAATGGTACTGGTTCAATTGGACATGAATTAAATTAATATAAAATTAATGAAAATCTATTAATATTCACAAACAGATTGGACTCACAAACAGACACCACATTTAGGTATTATGTAGCAAATCACGTAAATTGTTTAAAATGGTCCGGCTAATCCAGGTGTACGGGTGTGCCTGTATATGTAGTATACGCGGGTTTCTCATATTTACTAAAGTGTACACTTGATTAAGTAATTATGTATGGTATTGCACAAACGATCATGCTCACATTAATCGACGTGAGCCGGTATTGTGTCCCCATAAACATTATGGCTTTTGGTTCACTTTTATCTCATTTGTCGCTATTTTCGACACAAATTGCGGGCAATCAATGATACGATAACCACACACTTGACTACTGGCACCAGATTTGATATGGTACCGTGCGGTTACCAGTTAGAGTACCCGAATAATGATGTACTGAAAGTCCATTGCAAGCCATGGGTTGACTGCAAGATCAGCGATGTGTTCACCTCCCCTACCACTTCTGAGCCCACAATACCTAATGATACTAATCAAAAGCCCAATTGTTGTAGTAGTACAGGTGCCCAATGGTTAACTATTATTCTTATGGGTTTTGGTATCATTTCATTCAGTCATATCTAGTGCATTGAAATATAAATGTTATTTTAGTTTATTATTACCGGTAGTATATTCAATTGAATTTAGTCATCAATTTTTGTATAATTTATTCACAGTATAACATTTTATTGCAAGATTAAAATTATCGATTGATATGTTTATCAGTATAAACAAATTTTATTTTATAAATAGCACTGTTTTTAAAAGGTTGCATTAATTGCCAGTAGTTATCTATTACGATAATGGGTTAAACATTCAAATGACAAATTGAAAAACATTAGTTTCTAAATCTATAAAATAATACTGTAATTTCAATCCTTATTAAACAAGTTATCAAAAAATGAGTCTAATTTCATATTTAGTTACCAATAACTAGTGAATCATTAGTAAATAGTTTGCAAATTACTGTTTGAATGTTTCCATCAAAACAATGAATTCAATGACCAAGATATCAATATTTTTTGTGTCAATCATTTGCTTCGCTATTGAAGTGGACGTCCAATCAGTGGTTGACTGTTCTAACCCTGATACTGTGCTGGATGCTTTTTACAATGATGTGTGGAACTGTATTTATAATAAATGGATTTCTATGGACAGGAGTGGTATTTATGAGAGACATTGCTGTTATCAAAAGGAAAAGATCTGCTCTGAAGCCAAACATGTAATTCATTTGACTATTAAGACTAAAATTATGAGACTGAGTAAAAAACTAATGATTTTGTCCCAAAGTTTGCCCAAAACTGCGCGGATATGTCACGAATGCAGGAATTCCTGGAGGCGTATGACCGGGAAATGGTCTCCTGTCGAGGGGTGGGTATCGATCCGACGGACACCCTCTGCAACTCCATGTCTGTCAATGATGTCACAGAACCCGAGTGTCAGCAATGGTTTTCGTGTTGTATCAACGATACCCTCCATATCACACCTCCACCTGACACGTCCACAACACGTCCAACACCACCTACGAGTCCAGACTTAACTCCAGTTCCTGAGCCCATTACACACGCAACCTCTGCTTTCGAAACTGCTACAGACATATACTATACAACGGAGACTATTACAGAATTAGAGACTGACCTAGGTGTTACTTCAGATATAGACATTGCCTCCGAAACGAGTCCAGATGCAACCACTACACCCGAGACAAATCCAGACTTAACAGATCTAACAACTACTACATCTGATATTATAGCAGATCTGACCACAAAACCCAACATTAGTCCGGTGCTCATAAAATATAAGTCCAATGGTAGCTGTAATACCAGTGCTCGGACACTAATTCTTACTATTGTGGTGTGTATTAGCATTTCATTCATACATTTGTAGTAAATATTGAATATTCTGTTAAAGTATTACTTTATAAAATTCATTATAGCTATTACTAGTAACTAGTACACTGTATTAAATTATGTCCACTATTTTCCGAATAAAAGTTTCAAGTCCAAATATTGTGTTAAATTTCTGGTCAAACAATTATCTATATAAAATTTATCTTATATTATAAATTCTACTGTATATGCAATTGTGTAAACATTATTTATAAAAATCAATTCCATTACAAATTCAATTTAAAAATAAATTAAGATTTTATATACTGTAGTATTGAATAGTCATCAAATTGAGCATAATAGATAATAGATATTGAGTTTGTGTTCAATAAATTGTATTTATTTTTATAACATTATTGAAATCGTGACAAAAATATTAGTATCATATATTAGTATAAATATCTTTTATTGCAATCAAAGGATATGAATTTATTTTATTTAAACCACTAATTCCGTTATAAACCAAATAGTTTCCCTAACATTAGATTAACAAAACTTTTTTGAAATACAAATCTTATATCAATAATAATTAATAAATAAATAATTTCCCAATTAGTTTCTGAGTTATGAATTCAATGAATATAAAACTATTTCTAGTTTTGGAGGCAATCATTGGCTGTAGTATTGTAGTGAATGCCAAACAGAAGTCAAACTTCCAGTCCTCCGGTTCTCAAACAGGGATCGACTGCTCGGACACCAAAAGTGTGGAAAATGTTTACCTCAACACTATATTGGACTGTATTGACCGGAAATGGAGTCCATATGAACCAAATAGNTTGTAGTGAATGCCAAACAGAAGTCAAACTTCCAGTCCTCCGGTTCTCAAACAGGGATCGACTGCTCGGACACCAAAAGTGTGGAAAATGTTTACCTCAACACTATATTGGACTGTATTGACCGGAAATGGAGTCCATATGAACCAAATAGTGACAGACATTGCTGTTATTATAAGGACTGGTTCTGCACTCAAGCCAAACATGTATTCAGTTTATACCTAAACCCA